CACACACACACACACACACACACACACACACACCCCCTGTTATGTCTATATTTGATCCAGGATTGAAATCAGCTGCTCTTGTTGTTTGTATTTGATGTCATTTCTATTGGATTTCTGATACATCATCACAAATGTTATTATTTTAAAGAAACACAGCAACACAAGAAAAATGAGTAAATCTCTTGCATTGGTTAAAAAAAGATAAATTAAGGGCAGTAGATGGTATAATACTACTTTCTGATTGTGACTCACATCTGGTTATATCATGAATGAAATGACTTAAAGGACATGTGACAAAACTCAGCGTCATTTCACAGAATCAATCAATCAATTATGAGGCTTTAGTTAGACAACAAAAACATCTGTTGTTGAGGGTCAGGTGTGACTAGGTATTGTTGTTCTTTGGTTATGTAAGGCAGCTAAAGTGTTGGGCCACTAGGTGGAGCTGCAGCCCGGTTATGTTAGGTTAGGTTAAGTGTTTGATTTAGGGGTTTGATTATTTTAATGTGGATTGTCCCTTATGACATACCGTAGGGGAGTGTGCGTTAAGCGTAAGGCACAGTGCCGTCTTCAGATTGCACTGTTAACCCTTATAGGTAAGTCAAGCTGCTGTCACTGTGATGTATGAATATGATTCGTTTTCAAGCTGAAAAACTGCCCACTTTGAAACGATTATATGTTTTACACTGTGAAGGGATTTATTGCTGAATAATTTCGTTGACATGCACTTTTTGTTTCTGGTTAAAAACGATGTGTAATGTGACACAGTAAAAGTTACTAGCTGCTAAGTGTTAGCTTCGGCTTCAGTGAATGTGGTAGCTTAAAAACGTTCTGAGTACATGAAAGTGATACAGATTGCACTGTTAAGCCTTATAGAAGCCGCATGTGCCATAAATAAAACCTGTCGCCACCATTTCTGAACTACCAAGTCTCCCTGTCCGTTCCTTTGGAGCTCAACCGCCCGCACAGGATAGGCAATTTAACAAGCAACACAACGCAGAGCAACAGCGGGTCGTTGGAGGACATGAGAGTGGGTTACATTCAAATAAAAATAGCTCTTGGTCTCTAATTCTAATTGAGATATTTCACTGTTTCCTGGTGTTCGATGCCAACATGTTTATCAACGAATTAAGAAAATAATCTGTAGAAATGTAATGTATTAATCTATTAAAAAAAGCATGGGAGTGCCCTGCACAGCCCAAAGTGATTCTCTTAAACTATTAACCAAACAGACCTTTACAATTAAAAAGCAAGTGCAAGAAAGTGTTTGATATTTTAGATTTCCATGAGCTCTCCTGTTCAATTAAAGCATAAAAACGTACACTTATTTCCTGTCCATCACTGATTTCTCTCTACAAGAGACAAGAACAAGATAAGTGTGCCCTTGTGATGACTTGTTATGACTTTGGTAGCAGTACGTTTTTTTGTCAGCCTTAATGTAGTGTCAAACATCTGACACCAGGTGGCACTGTGTACCAATCTCTAAAGACCACAACAGTTGAATTTAGATAAACAGACAAAGCAATTAAGACAAAGATGCATTAAAGAGCATTAATTACTCTGTTAGCAGAGTTGTTATCAGTTCAGCATCAAGTGTAACAGTAAACTCAGCCAGAGGTAAGTCAGCATGTCAACAGGACTAATCCCATCAGCAAGACACTAAACCTCAGTTTGTAACTGTAATCCCATTAACACACGTTTTTAACTGTCAACTCAAACAAAAACACACTAGAAAACATATTGCTGCACACGAGTTGGTCAAAGTTATTAATAATTATAATGAATGCAGTAATAAACATGACTCTAAGATTAATCTGCTTCAATACAGGATCTGAAATTAAATTAGAATTTCAGATGTTGATAAAAAAATAAAGAATAAATAATTGAAGGAACAACCAATATTAAAAAAATATTAAAAAAACAAAATCAAATTCTATAAATCAATCAGTGTCAGGTTTACATTGATGCATCAGGATTAATGGTCTCCATTATTCTCATGTGTGTGAATTTATCTCATTAACATCAGATCATTTCCTTAATGAAGCAGTATTTGTTTATGTGGAAACAGTGGGGCAGGTGGCAGTTCTAAGTCCTAAGAGATATAAATCTCAGCTGACAATGTATTTCACTATTATTTTATCATGATGATCAAAAAGCCATTATCATCCTAGTTTATATCTCTCTTTTTTATTCATTGAGACTTTGACTGGTAGGATGATTCTACAGAATGTACAGCAAAGGTTGTTGCATAATTGATTAAAGTCCAATGTTTTAACATTTCACTCTACACCTAATGTGAGGCTGACTCCACCAAACAAAATGACACTTATTTAACACTGTTCTTCTAGATATATTTAAATATATGTTATGTTGCATTTTCCAACCAATTTGGAGCTCTGCAAGTTGTTGCTTTTCCAACTCAAATAACCAAAAGATAAACTAGAAGGGCAAATCAGTAGAGTTCATACCTCAGTCCTCTTATGAGACCACTTTTAATTCAGTAGATCCAGACTTTTTTTGTATCTGCACTCAATTTCACACACTCATAGATATCAGTCTCCTTAACATGCCTGATGATTAACCATCAAGATCCATGAAATATTCTCTGTGATATGAAAATGTTGCTTAACATCATATCAAAAAAAAAAAATGCATCCATCCCCAAATGGGTTCTTCCCTGATCCATAAACACCCTTCTTCCTACTTCTGTGGTAATCCGTGCTGTAGTTTTTGTAAAATCCTGCTAACTCACAGACAGGTGGAGGTAAATATGTCACTTATTCATGTCACTAACAATTATATACATGAAAACAGTGTGATGCATCTGGGTAGTGGCGTTTAAAATGAAAAGTCCCAGGATATTAAATCCAGAGGATGAAGTGTTCACACTAATTAGACCCTAATTATGTTTAACATCCAAGTGCCAAGAAGATTCATGACTGCATTGGTTTATCTGATGTTGTGTATTTACTGTAAAAGAGGGACCATAAGTAGCACCTATATTTATACTGATCCAGCACATTGACTTGTTTTCTCCTCAAGACATCAAGACCTGAGGATTTAGGTTTCTGCTGACCGTCTACACCACATGGCCAAATGTAAGTTGAAGGCAGAACATTACACTCATATATGTGATTGTTGCTATAACAGCTTCCTAGAAGATTTTTGTACCCTGGCTGTAAAGATGTGCTGTCCTCAACTGAACTTGAGTTGGCATGAGGACAGGGTTGTTCATTTGGTTATAAAATCCCTCTGTGGTCTGTTGTGTTTCAGCCTGTTGGTTTTTATTAGCTCTACAGATTATGTTTTGAATAACTGGTTATATTTTGACTGTTAATATTACGATGAACAATCTGTAAAAAGCTCTTCTCAATTTGCGATGTTGCAGTCAGACATCTTACAATTTACAATAATCCAAATACTACACCTCAAGTTGGAGAAGCAGCAAACAGAGCATTT